TAAAAGAGTTTATATGGCTTAACCCTTAGTGAGTCATAGTTCACTTGAGCTCACCCAGGCATGTGAGGAAAGAAGGTCAGCGTCTCCTCACCAACCCAGCAGGGCCCTGCAGTGGCCTCTCTGGGGGGTGCTAGGGGTGTGAACCACACCAGGTAACACTGTCAGAGGGGGTAACACCAGAAGGACTGCCTACATAAAGTTAGTGTGCAGTGTTTCAGCAGGAATTCATTATTTTTTGTAAAAATATCCCTGTTAGCTATAACAATGAAAACATTTTTCATAAGTCCAAGTTTACATGTATCAGTATACTTACAACACTAAAACTCTACGCTAATTTACCTTTCAAACCTTCTAAAGTACTCCGGTCAGAGCTGTCATTATTACCCAATTACAATGACACTTCAAATCCTATGTTTCATCTGCGTGTGCTATAATCCTGTTGTTTTCATTGCTGCAAAAACTGTTGGTATTTTAGCTACAACACTGCAGTAATTAGTATTTGTGAAGCTGTATCAATAACTTTTTGGAGAATGAAATAGTAATTAAAGGAAAAAGAAAAATTTTTAAAAAAGATTTCCACTCAGTTACTAATAATGCTGCAACTATTGTTGTAACTCAATGTACAAAGATTTTACAAAACAATTTTGTTGTTATATTCATATAATCTAAGAAATAATAATTTAAGTAATATACAACTATATTTATCGTATTATTCTATGATTAAAATTGACAACATTATCAATGATTCTATATGGTCTGGTACAGGAGGAGGTCCATAGGGTAGTGGGTGGTGACATTATGAGTTACCACACCAGGTGAGACATTAACCCTAATGACACCACTGGGGAACTTCAGGGAGATTGCCCTCACAGTGGACACAGAAGTCCCCTGGCCAGCATCACCAAAGGCCTTTGGTGACTTCCTATCTCCTCCGAGTTTTTCAGATGTAAAATGAGGGCATTTATCCTTCAAACAGCCTCACAGGATTGTTGAGGCGATCAAATGAGATAATGGATAATAAACATGCTTTGAGAATTGTTACAAAACATTATTATAACTAACTCACCCACACTGCTATATACTAATATAGACTTTCTATGGTATACAATGATCACTTTACAGTGTACTAAAAAATGATCCTATCAATTGAAAAGTAGGGGGATTATTTAATGCTTTTATTTAAGCTCCCTGATTTATCTTCAGCACAAAACCAAAAAACAAACTCACTGTTATGGAGTTGATTCCGACTCATGGTGACCCCCACTGGGTTTCCGAGCCTATAAATCCTTATGGAAGTAGATTGCCCCATGTTCCTTCCACAGAGCAATTTGTGGCATTATACTGCTGACCTTCCGGTTAGCAGCCAAATGCCTATTCCACTATGCCACTAGAGCTCCTAATAGCTTTTATTATTTCCTTTAAAAAAGAAAGAAAAAAAAAGTATCTTGTGTGTGAGGTAGAGACTTTGGAAGTAGAGAGGACTGGGTTCAAATTCTGCCTTCAGCTTTGAGCCACATGACCCTGAGTATGCTAACCTCTCCAAGCTTCAATTTCTTCACTGGTTTAAAAAAAAGACCATGGGAGAGATGGGATAATATTGACTTCTGCTAAGCCTGAAGGCTGTTTTGAAGAATAAATAATATAATGAGTTTGCAAGTGTCTAGTCCTGCACCTGGCACACGTAACCTCACTAAAAACTTTTTTCCTCTCCTTTCTTTAAACATCAGTTGTCAGGGTGTTCCTCTAACACATCTTACTTCTTCCAGGACTGTGTCCTCAATTCAGAGCCTAAGGAAGGGTGATTCC